TTACATCTGATTTTGTAACAGTTCTTTTTAAATTACGTAATTACGCTTTTTAACAATTTATGTGTTCTATTTAATTTGATAAAGTAATTTGCTCCGCGCGCTTTTGTACTAATTAAGTGATGAACTGTATTTAAAATGAGTCAATAGCTATGTGAAAGTAGGTAAGTATCCGGTATTTTATTTATGAGAATAGAATAATCTTCTACCGGCCTCTAATAGTACTTAATCAATTTATTCGATTATGTATTCGATCATTATAGAACCTAATTAACGTTTTATTTTTTTGTTAACTACTTAGTCAATTAATTTATTCCATTAGGTATTTGATAATTAAAAAAGCTAAATAAACGTTTTAATAAATAAGTAAGTCAGAACCTTATTAATTTTATAAAGATTAAGAGTGCCAACCCTAACACTCAGTTGAAGTGTAGGTATTTAACTCGCCGAAAGGGCTAAGTTTCCGTACTGCTTTAGCTCATATATCTACTGTGCTAACACGATGTTTACACACATACGGCGCTGTTCGTCGCGCCCAATATAAAAGGCAATAAGTTATAGGACGACTACTAAATGTACTCATGTTGAAGTATTCTAAAACTGTGAGTGCAATGTGTACGGTGCCTAAAATGAAGATCATGTTAACAACATGTAGTGCATTTTTTATAACTTCGTAATCGAGTATTAAAAATCAAAAAGCTTTATTTATTAGCAGTTCGCCAGCGAGTGTAACATTATAACGTGTACAATAATTACAATACAATGCGCTATAAATTATAACACAGACCTGTATAGGTATGAGGTAATCATACATAGTAATATACCTAAATGTATTTCGTATTTCGCCGAGAAATATTGAAAAGGAATTGACCCACTCCACTTAGATTACGTGTTAAACTTTTAGTAGTAGGTTGGCAATTAAGCGTTTTGTATTTTTACATAAGTTTATTCAATTTGGCATTATCCTATATGGATAGTGAAAGTAATTTATCAGCTGGAAGCTTAAAAATAAACGGGTGACATTCAGTCATGCTTTTCAGAGTTCCGCACCCAAAGGTTGCCAAGGGAACCCTATTAAAGTATCCTTTGTATGTATATTATTATGTATTCTGTCTAACAGCCAGGCGTAAATACAGCCGTAAATGTTCGCAAAATGTAGCGCTTTATCAAAAAAACAGTAAAAATGAGATAAACTTAGAATATTCTGAAAGTAAGGTTTTATTCAGTTCCTTTAGTGTTCAGTTTTGTTGTATAATGGACTAAAATTCATCATGTGCGAATCTGGCTCGCACTTGACCGGTTTTTACTAGTAAGCACTAAAGGTTACACAAGTGTTCGGCGTTCGCGGATACCTAATTGTGTTTATCTTCCAAATATGGCTAATCCAGCGCTTGCGCGTCACAACGATTAGGTAGCCAGTGATAACAGATTGAATTACACAAATATTTGGTAGTCGGGATGTTTGCACACTCGAATGCGTAATACAATAACAGCATCTATGCTTGTTTGTGTAAACTTTTAGATGAAACCTATTATTAGATTCAAATTCGCAATAAAATTGCAACTAGATGTACTTACTGTTAGTTATGAAAGCAATAAATTAGGTAATTAAATACTAAATAAATATTATTTATAAGTATGTAATATATCTATCACAATAGTAGTAAAGATTATGAAAATTAGACGATATTAAGAGATTTATATTTAGGCTTTTTATTACGTAAAAATTTAATTAGATAACAACTGCAGATAACAACTTTTACCAAACAGATGAATGGTACTCGTGAAACTAAAACTTGATTGGTTGAAAAAAACACGTTATCAACCAAAGCTATGTAAAGATAAAACAATCAATCATACTATGATTATTCACAATTTTATTGTGAAAGGAAAAAATATATCAAGAGTGCAAACACGCTAAAAATAGTATAGAATAAACAAACAAATTGCATGATAACTTGTCTGTTGATAGATTTGTTTAACGCTTTCCATGGTGGCTCTGACGTAGGTACAGAAATAGCAAAAATATTTCGTTCGCTTCTTCCCTCCTATAAAGAAAGACGGTGACAACTAAGGTCAGGAACCCTTGTGTTCGGCATTATGAGGCGTCAGTCCGCATTATGAAACATCACTCAAGTATCAATCTGCATTCAAAAAGGCTTGAGTTTGAAACAAGCTTTGAGCATAGTTTCAGAATCCAAGTGAGAAGAGAGAATTCAGAATCAGAGAGCTTGCTAATTATCTACCTACTTTAGTATGAACTGAAGGCTATTTTCGTTTCTGAAGTGTTATGAATTGAAAGCACATAATCCAATTTTGAGAATTGGGCATCAATAATCTCAAATCAATTGAACATTCAGAAACGAAAATCGGTTTAGGTTCTTACTTAACTAAGTAGAAGAGAATGAGCATACTAGAGCTTAAAATCTCAATTCAAAAAGCGGCTGTAGATGAACACATTTATAGTGATCCTATGCAAAATCTCGCGCCCATTAAGAAACAATAATACTTATCAACAGCATGATGCAAAGTGAAACCTTGATTTCACTTTTTATGGTTGCATGTCGGGTCGCAGTATCCCATGCGGATAACCGTGAAATAAAGTGCGGTAGATCACCAAAAGTACCAGCGTTCTGGTGAAAGTGTTAAAGTAGAAATAGATCAAATCTCAATGCCATTTCATTGTTCGGTGCCAGCGACATCTGTTATCTGTATTGTGATATTCTCAAGCCTGGTACATCAGTTTGATGTGTTTGAAGATTATGATCCCCTGGAATAACTGTTCCGGTTCGTTTATTAGGTAGGAGGCGCGGGAAATGGCGCGTTTTACGTTTTACGATATACCGAAAATAACATTAGGTTCTTTTAGATGGTTTCTTCAAAGGGTCGATCTACTCTTTATTTATCACGAACTCAGCAGTGTAATCGCTAGTATTGATTTTCGTTTATGTATTTTAGGATGTTTTAGTTAAAAGCAGACGATAAAAACGGTATTGCTTATGTCCATTATCATAATTTTGGTGACACAGATCTTGGTCACAGATTGTTTGCGTTAATTCCCTTAAGAATAGAGCACTAGCACTAAAACAGTTGTTAAATGTGACCTGACTGACCTACCTCTGATTGGATTGGATTAATACTTCGCATTGATCTAGTTTCTAGTGCGACAGTACCAACCATGTGCCATGACATCTATAAGAACTTAATCAGATCAAGATAATGACGCCTACTTCAAATGTTAGATATAATTACTATTTACTAATACTGTTAGTGTATGTAGGTTACATTAATTCGTTATTTGACAAGCTCTTGATCACCAATCGTCCCTCGACCATAATGTTAACCAAATAATGAACTGGGCTGCCTGAAAAATTAGTCAACGCTTTCATATGACCATAATACCTACTCATATTATTTAGAATTCTGATACATACATTCATGAATCTTCATAGTTGAAACGGTTGATGATCGAAAATGTGGCTTAAAAACAAATAATTGGAATAATAACCTAGCTATGTAAAAGCCCATTTTAATAATTGATAGGGAACAATTGCTACTGCCGGCCACTGAATAACTCAGTGACGTAGAGCATAGTTTACATTGCCATGTGCCGTCAGTTCACACGTGCAAATTGATAGCCAATTGTGTCAATATCGGTCTGATTTTGCGTATATTGTCCGCCAATGAATATAGCACGACAGACATATGATCTCAAGGATTTCTACATTTAATTTTATCGGAGTGTGTATTGTTACTTAGATTAATTAGAATGGCAATATAATGCGTAGTTTATAAGCGGCGTGTTCTCACACGGATATTTTATTGACGAGGATGCGCATGATTGATTTAACGATCGTGGTCATTTGTTAGTCTTACAGAACACACTCCTAAGATGTGCTATTAAGAATCATTGGCAGAATAAAATATTTCTGGAAATAAATCGAGTGTAAAGAAAAAATATCTTAAGGTTTGTAAATGTTAAGGGTGTCAAAATTAGCCACTTAAGCCTCCACCATCTTTGTCTTAAATTCTGCCAGTCAGAGGGCTGTAGGGTATTTAAGCAATTACAAAATACTCTTAAATATATTTTTTACCTTTAACAATAATGGCAATAGGGCCTTCAGTTCTGTACTACCTTTATAAAGCCCTTCTCGCTGTTATTTGACAGTAACCATAATAATAAATACCAGGTGGCTTTACCACCTGCATGGCATGTCGCCCATATGTGTGGTTAATAAACGTTTGACTTTGAATAGTAATAGTCGCCGTTTTAATGTCGATAACGTGGCCTCATGTATCTGTATGGATTTTCTGTTTATCGGATTGTATAAGCGACAAAACACTTGAAGTATTCTTTGACTTTGACTATTTGCCCATGGAACTAAAATACTTTAGCGGGAATCATCTAATGCATCTTATTATTCTGGTATAGGGTTATTTGTATACAAAAATATTGAGAAGCTTTCAATTGAAAGTTGGAATTCCTTTCAGTAAACATATTATCCGAATTGCAATCTTGTGGATGTTTGCTACTTCTAAATTCTGTTTGTAAATGTCTTTCCTTTTCGTTGTATGTTTGTCATTAGAATTTTTTCCTCGGCGTAAAATTCTCGCGATAATATGTGAGTTGGATGAATTAAAAATACTTATGTGAAATTGGGGGAGGCTTATGTTCAGCTGTTTGTCCTGCGGCTGAAATGATGATGATGAGTGAATGTATCTACGGATAGCTATTGCCTACGAGTATGTAGGAATGAAATGCTAAGAGAACAAAACAAATATAACATTGAAGTCATAAAAATATACTGCACCTAATGATATTCTTCTTCTTGTCGTGTCGACAACAAACCTACACACTACACAGTGTCAGCGCAAAACTCTGCTACAAAAGTGGCATGATAGTATTAATAATTTCTGAATTTCATGGTATAATACAGTGCTTACCATATTATCTACATGGTCTGTTATACAGCCTACTAAGATAAAGCTTGTCTTGTTTCCAGGCGTCGTATGCAACAGTTGAAGCTATGGCAGCAGAGAGAGAAGGAGTGGGCGCGCTCGCGGGGCAAGCGAGAGAAGAGCAACAAGCGCAACATCTTCTTCAACGACAGCGTCATGCTGTTGGAGGCTGCGGCGAGGAACGATATCGAAGAAGGTCAGTCATCGGGTCACTTAGTCTCCTGCAGTAGGTCGCATGCAACAGAAGCTATGGCGGCAGAGAGTGGAAGAAGAAGAGATATCGAAGAAAGTTGGTGTCATCATCAGCTCAATCTCCACTGCAGGAGCACGATTCTCTCTATTTTTTTAGACAGGCAATTGGAAAATTTGGCATACACTCTCCACCCTGGACAGAAGAGTGAGGAAGTCCTCGTGTTAGCCTTGCCCCTAAGTCGCCACATCCACGGGATGAGTGAAGTGCTATTCTACTACTGTGCTGGAACTACGCGGCTAGATTTATGTTGGCTTTTAAAAGTGCATTTACTTTTACATGTATTAAGGAACTTTTAAAACATTAACCTTTCCACTTTTTGGCTTTCAAAAGCGCATTTGCTCGCCTTAAATAACTTTTAAAACATTAAACTTTCTACTGCTTTGGGACATTGCTGCTGCTGACGATTCATTCGATAATATTGTTTGTGATTCTACACGTCCAAAGTCAGTGTAATCTAATAAGACAAATAACATAGAAACAGAAAGATAGTAAAGATGACGCTAGGAAGTGGCTTTAAGGCCATGATTTCCCAAATTGTCGATATTTGACCGATTTTGTTTGCAGATAGTTTCTAAATGAAAAGATATTTTAGCAAACAAAAAATTGTAGGAGTAAGTTAATGTCTTTAACTAGGGCGACAACTTTTCCAAAACACGATATTGCATAGTTTGTCCGATAAAAAAAAATCCCAAAGAAGTACGTCGACGGCTTTTTTGTTTTACTCTCATATATTCATTTTTAACATTTTACACTTAAAATATATACTAATAGATAGGACTTTGTATTTTCTAGGTCGACAACTTTTCAAAATTTTGTTATTGCGTCTTATTTATTTACTATGTTGAAAAAATGTGAAAAAATCGGCCATGACGGCTTGGACAATCTCAATCAGTCGCGCGGTGGCGCTTACGGAGGACGGACGCGTGTCAGTTTTATTCCTGTGACAGTTCGCGATTTGTCAATATTTTTGACAAAATCGCCTCTGTCTGGCGGGTGGCGAGTCACAGTATNATCCTTACGAGATTAGGATGGCTCTCAAACAGCTATAGAACAACAAGGCACCAGGTGATGACGGAATAACCTCGGAGCTTCTGAACGCGGCGGGTGATAAGCCGATACTGAAAGTCCTTCAAAGACTGTAACTCCGTCTTGGACAAAGGCTAGGTGGTGTTTTTCTTCAAGAAATGGGGTAATCTGGGTTCTGACTCTGAGTCATGTTTACAAGCTGTTTTTGAGAGCCATCACGAATAGTCTCGCGCGTAGGTTTCGATGACTTTAAGCCTCTCGAGGAAGCCAGTTATCGAAAAGTTTACACTACCATATACCGCATCTATACGCTACAGCAGGTTATACAGAAGACCGAAGAGTCTAACTTGCCTATTTTTTTTAATCTTCAGCTGAAATTGCCAGAGTTCGGTTTTTGAAGACAAACAATTTCTTGTATATTAAAACAACAATGTATTTTATTATAGCAAGTGCAGGAAGTTTCTCGCTAATGTCTACGAGCAAACTTGTAGTCTCCATACTTTATAGACGTTTATTTATGTACGAGGTTTTAAATTTACAAATGAAGCTTACTTGCCTATATAGGTACCTGGCGTTCTTAGACTATGAGAAGGTCTTTGAGCCTGGCTGAGCACGAGGGCGATTCCTCTGCAGCAGATGTAATAATACGTCGAATTCAACTCGGCTGGGTAGCGTTCGGGAAACTACATAACATCTTTTCGACCAAAACACCTCAGTGCCTAAAGAGGAAAGTCTACAATCAGTGTGTGACGTGTGTGTTACCAGTAGTGATGACATACGGTTCGGAAACGTGGCCTCTTACTATAGGCCTTATAATAAGCTCAAAGTTGCACACCATGGTATGGAGAGTGCTATGCTCGGTATTTCTTTTCGAGATCGAACCAGAAATGAGGAGATTCGTAATCGAACTAAAGTCGCCTGACATATAGCGATTGGATTAGCAAGCTAAAGTGGCAATGGGCAGGGCACATAGTACGTAGAACAGACGGCCGATGGGGCAAGATTCTGAAGTGGAGGCCACATACGTGTACATGTTCGTCAGGAGGCGCTTTCTTTTTTTAACCAATTCCGGAACTAGAACCGGAATTCCGGAGTTGAGTGCCCAATATCGGAAATCAGTTCCGGAGTTGAAAACTATCCGATATTGCAAGCCCTAATATGGACCCTGGTTCGAAATAAACATATTTTATTTTATTTATTTATTTATTTAAATGTGATTAATACGAGATCATTTATACATATATGTATCGGATTGCCAGGTGTCCGGTTTTATCCGGACATGTTTGGCTTTTTACGGTCTTGTCTGGCCAAATATTGTCTTGTCCAGCCTGTCTGGCTTTTGTTAGGCTTTTTATGCTAAAGAAAGCCGAGCTACGGAATAATATCAAGCGCTGGGCAACCGATGATGATAGTACTTCGTGAGCTATGACACTAATTTTAAAGTTAAATGTCTGGCCAAATGAAGCACAGAGTCCGGCTTTTGTGTTTCTGGACCTGGCAACCCTATGTATGTACATATTTTCGTTTTAATTTTCGATTTTTCAGAAAAGTATTTATTTATTGATCTACATTAGTATTTAAACTTTTAAAATAGTCCCTATTATACATTATACACGTGTGTTAGCGCTTCTTCCAATTCTAAAAATACTTCTCAAAGTCGATCTTTGAGATAGCCTTTACATCGATCGGCGACGCGTGTTTAATGTCACTTATGTCTGTAAAACGATGACCCTTTAAAGTTATTTTTATTCACGGAAAGAGAAACTAGTCATACACAGCCATTTCCGGTAAATTTGGAGATTGGAACATTGTTACAGTTTTATTTTAGCAAAAATTCGCCGCCACTCGCTCAAAATTCAGCAATTTTCTAACAAATTAATTTTTCATTCCGACAAAAATCCAAAAAATATTCATAGCATGAGTCAAACGATATGCTAACATCATCAGCATCTTCCCTAATTGTGATTCGACGGTGTTTCATAACCACTTCTTTCTGTTTTTTCACATTTTCATCGGTTGTTGATATGCTGGTGCGTCCAGAGCGCTCGTCATCTTCTATGCCTTCATGGTCTTCTTAGATACGATTTTACCACTCGTAAACCCTTGATTCACTCACAGCAGACTCACCAAAGTCCATTTTTAACATTTCAAACACTTTTAATTTCATTTTATAAGCAAAACTTGATTCAAATTCTTTGATCGTAAGGAGTTTGTTCCGGCGTTTCTTCTCAGCACTTGCCATATGTTTGTGTCGAAGCGCTGGTAGGGCCCAAAAGGTAAGGAGACATATGTATAGTACCCCATAAGGGCTACCTTTTTCTTTTTTTATTATTTACTATATTTTGACGTTCATAAGTGCCACTTGTGATCTAAACTGAATAAATATTTTTGATTTTGATTTTTTGATCCATTTTTCCTAACAAACAAAAATCGCCGAACTTATAAAACACGTGTAACTTAAGTGAATGACAAAAGTTCTCGATCGCAGCCTTTGAAGGTCCCATTTTTCGCTTATATCTCAGAAACTGTCTAAATAAATAACTATGCGTCCTAGCGATATGACTATTGCAACAAAATGAAATCTCATTTCATTTACTAGGTACTTTTTTCAGTCAAGTTAATAGTTAATAATATCTTGTATGGTTTTCGAGATATCTGCTCTTCATAGTTTTGTAAAACTTAAACATTTTTGCCTTATATTTTCAAATAATTATCAGGAAATAGTTGCCATAATTTACAATTAGATGATAATATTAGGTACTTTTTGATGATGAAAGAATATAAGGCGAGTCATCAATTCCGATGTTTCACAAATTTTTAAAGATGCTGAATTATAAAACTAGATGGCGATACAGTTATTTAATTGATACCATAAATAAATATTTTAGAAGTTTACTGCTTGAATCTGAGTTAAAAATTATAAAAGGGCAGAAGAGGACCTCTAGGCAAGTTGTTTTGAGGATTGTTTACTATTTCTGGGTTTACAATGATTAATTTAGAGTCATTTGCTTAAATAGAATAGCAATACGTAAAAGAACATTAGTATTTCATATTAAAATGGAGTTTACATTTTTGTGATCATTTGCGTACTATTTTTGTCGATAAAAAGTATTTGTTTGACTTAATATTATCATCTTTATTTGATATTATTGATTGACAAACATTTGTGTGCATGAACATTATAATAATGTTTGTTTCGGGCTGGGTGTTTTCTAACCATAATATGAATGTATTTATTTATGTTATGTTATTTAAGTAATATGTTCATATCCCATAGTACAAGCTTTGCTTAGTTTGAGACTAGAGGCGCAGTGTTAAAATATTATGTCGAATGATATTTAATTTTATTATTTACTTATTCACTGTTTGAAGGTTACGGTTTAATCCAACTTACGGCTTGTTTTTACACTGTGGCGTCATCGCGTCGCGTGAGTGTCAGCGCGAGTGTCAGTGCGAGGTGTGCGGGGGCTGAGGTAACGAATGCACGGCATCGAGGCGGTAAATCCTAGCCTTAAGTTTATATTGGGCTAAAGAAAAATGTAATCTGAAGAGGTGGAATCTTTAGCGGTCTGTGCATAGGGACACAATAATAACATTTGTGAATGACAACATAATACTATCAACATTCTGATAAGTGGCTAAGAGTAACAACTGGCGACGAAATAGATGAGTATAAGAAGATAAGAGTGATAAAAGATTAAAGATATAATATATCGATACTGCAGAAAATCGGTAGCTCTATACATCGTGTAAAGCACTTAACGAAGTCATGCTATCCGTTACACGAAAGCTGTACATGTATAACAACTATTACAATGCTCAAAGTTAAGGTAGCATCTCTGTTTATTGCAATAAGTATGATTTTATAACTGAAATGTATATTTAGTCTGATGTGCCGATTATACATACAGTCAGAG